TGGGTTTATTGGGAGGATTACAGCTAGGATCCCAAAACCTTAAGGGCATCAGGGTAATCATGTTCCAACTTTCTGGCTAGGCCTATACTACACTATAGGCCTAAACCCGTAGTCCTAAGCCCTCTTAATATTTGCAACAGCTGCTCGGTATCTTTACAATTCTATAGATAAACCTATGACTACGATGCATCGATTCTATCGAGTGGCTATAGCACTATATGGTGTCGATAATCAGGAGGCAAGGCTATCCTTGTCGAATACAGGGGTGACTGGAAATTCCACTACGAGCATTGGAATCTCAGCGCATACTACAAAGCGAATCGCCTCTGCCACATGTGTGTGGCCAGCAAGGTGGGAGCCCAGTCGCCTCTCAGCCTGGGTTATATAAGAGCTATGTATATACATATACATATATATATATATATCACCAGGCTTCGGCACACCTTCGTTTTATATTTTTATTATTATGTGTAAATTAAATATTATCCGGCTCAAACAAAACCAAGGTTTGCCAAAGATCTGACCGCCGAATACGAGCGGAGAACTTCGGATCAGATCGTCGAGGAGTGCATGCACCCTGGCCTGCGGAATCCGCTGGCCATGGAACTGACTCCCGGAGTCTTCAATGCAGCCACGCAAATCCGTCCATGCACGATGCACGTGGCCAATTTAGGCACGGTGCAAGTACTTAACGGTTCCGTTGTCGATCTCTTGGTCAAAACTGGCTTCTTCGGGTCCACCGACGTCCACGAAGCGCTACACACGGCAACGATGCGATTCAAGCAGTATGCCAGTGCTCATCGACTTGTCCACAGCGTGCCAATGCTGACACCGAACATGCTGGTCGATCCCAGCGCAGGGAGCTTCCCTGTCCTTACTTTAAAAGCGTTTAACGGGAGACTTTTTTTGGGATTCTTGTCGGTGTGTCTCCGAGCGGCCGTTGCAAACGAGCCCAATCCCGATTTGGAGCTACGACTCGCTGACCAATGCACGCGATCCCTTCTTCATTGGTTCCAGCTCCAGGAGAGCGCACCGCGGCGCTTTATCGATTCTGCGACAGGGCAAAGCATACTTGAAGCCACTGATTCGTTCCTTCGCCTCTACCAGGGCTTAGCGCAGCTCGCTTGCAGCCGAGCAGAGCTTCGGTATAAAATATTACCGAAGCACCACGATCCCTACCTGCGATTAAGTATTTTTATTTTCCTATAATAGGTGTGCCGAGGCCTGGGAAAATATATATAGATAGATACTTGCTAGCTAAGATGATGCGCCACATCGGCGAGATTGCCGCCAGGGAGAAGATGAACCCAAGAAGCTTCCACACATACCTTGACGAGGATTGTGTGGGCCAGTGGAAACTCCTTTGTGTTCACTCACCATGCAACTTAGCTCCTCGCATATAGATATATATATTTGACTACTTAAATTTTCACACTCTAGCATACGAATAAGCCAAGGCAGCATGATGGAATGGAGATTGATGAGTCGCTACCTACTTCGCCTGGGTGTGGAATCCTAAGCTTCATTGGCAGTGCGAACCACTACCTGGCCCCTGGTTTTCTTGCTGGTGGCATTGCCGGGTATATCGGAGTTCGAACTCAAGGATCCTCGTGCCGCTTCCCTGCTGGTTAATGCATGCAGGCTAGGGGCTGGTTGCCAGATCGATATCGTCGCAGCAGCCAGCAAGAATCAGCTTCATTGCCCACAGAGTTCGGTATAGTTGTGCTTGTCGGGGTAACTAGGGTGTTTAAATCCTACATATATGGGGGGTATATATATGTTAGATGCTTCGGAGTTTGGGTAAAAGTGTTGAGATTTCGTTGCAGTGCTGTGCCACCACAGGTCTCGATGCATGCAGTGCAGGATTGAAGCAAACGTTGGTGTCCTAAATAGTTGATTTTGCCCAAGCATATCATTGCAAGTACAGCTCTAGTGGAGTCGTCCTACGATGACTATCCACAATGATGCCGCTCATCATGCAGACACCAAGCCGAAGTTCACAGCGTCTTGCATCAAGTTCTTCTTGAAACAGAGAAAAGTGTCACTCACAAGCTGCACCGCATCCGAGCTGTTCTTTGCACCTCTGTGCCTCGGATATATATTTAGAAATATTGTTCCACCTATCTAATAATAAACAACCCAACCCTGATGCCCAAACCCTAAACCCTGGTACTTAAACTCTAGATCTGGCTACAGTATACTAGAGGCCTGGGAGTCGGCCCGTCAACTGGGATACGAAGCTGCATCAGTGCTCGAGGAGGATGAGCGAAGACGAATGATGAAAGAAGACTTTCATCGTTGATATCGATGCTGGCATGTGGTTTCGAAATTCTTTAATTTAGCATGAGTAAATTAGCCTCTGGGCTGAGGGCTGTGTGGATGCAGTGTTATACGATTCCCACAGCTGCAAAAAAAGACCGCTCCACCGTACTGATCAATCCAATGACCTCGACCCTAACCCTAAGAACTTAAACCCAGATAGCTATTAGAATTCGAACCCAAGTGTTCTTCCAGATCCCAGAAACCCTAAACGACATCGCATTTTACGACTGTGACCCTAAACCCAACGAGCCCTAAGTGAATTCAAACGAGTCTTGAGGTTTGAACCTCTCACCTGCACGGACTCGAACGACCCTAACCCTAAGCCCTAAACCCCAACCCCTACAAACCCTAACAACAGGTTTATTACGACCCTGAACCCTAAACCCTAGATTGGGCTCAAATCGCGAACAAATCAACGTGACGAGGCTAGGAATTCATAGAATGAAGCTGGGTATGTACAGCTCTGGCTTCTCGATGCTCCATTCGGGGTACTATAAAGACCTACAAAAATCACGATTTCCATGTCCTGCAACATCTGCAAATCCATATATTTGTAAGTCTCGGAGTCCGGAGACGCAGGCTCATATATTATGTATGGTGTGAGTTTCTGTGAACCTACCGGAATGTCTTCTGCTCGGGACGACTTTGGAGCAGCAGGGATACCAATCCTGTTGGCGATTCCTGCGATACTTAAAATTACCAAACCCTAAACCCTAACCCCTAAACCCTAACCCTAAACCCTAAACCCTAAACCCTAAACCCTAAACCCTAAACCCTAAACCCCAAACCCCAAACCCTAAACCCTAAACCCTTCAAATTACCACGGCCCTCTGTTTAAGGGTGCTGCGGGGCTAGGATATGGCGCATGCAGCCCAAGGCTTATCGGAGTCTCAGAAAGTTGGGTACCTACATCGGCACGAAATAGGGCTTAGGGGTATATAGTCTAATTATAAATACGGAACCCTCTAAACCCTATTCTATATAATTATGAATGCCCCTAAATTACGCAAAACTCGGCACAAAATAGGGTTTAGGGTTTAGGGTGACTAGATAGCAGGAGGCTTCACACTCCTAAACACTCTCTCAAACAGGGTTTCGACTCGCAGACTCGCAGATGGCAGCCAGGGACTCCACCACAAGTCAGGGTTTAGGGTTTAGGGTTTAGAGTTTAGGGTTTTAGGGTTTAGGGTTTCGGGTTTCGGGTTTTTAGGGTTTAGGGTTTCTAACTACCATGAAACAGACAAGTGAGATGGGCTGACGGGCACAGAGTTTAGGGCTTAGGGTTTATGGTTTCAAACCAACTCAATACAAGCATGTAAGAGCTTAAAACCCTCAAGCGGGGTTTAGGGGGATTACGGCCCTGCCCACTCTAAAACTTCAAGATTTTTGGACATAAGACTATCGGCAGCGAACCCACTGACAGGTGTCCTGCAATCGCTCGATGGCACATGGGGCTTTGCAAGTTCTATGTGGGCTCCATGAGGCAAGACCAAGGCTCCTACTACACTCTAAATCTAAGGTTGAAACCATGGGCCCCTGGAATGGGCCCTTAACCCTGGGATCCTTATACACCTACTATATATACCCTATCTGCACCCTTAAGAGCCCCTGGAAAGGCCCAAGGGTCCATATGAGGGGCCCATACTTCTAACCTTCGACTAAAGCAAGTTGGCAATCGACTTGCTGAAGGTTTTCAGGCTTTGGGCTTTAGGGTTTGGGTTTCGGATTTAGGGTGACTTGCTGAAGGGTATCAGGGTTTGGGCTTTAGGGCTTGGGTTTGAGTGTTTAGGCTTCCGGAGCTGAGCTACCGTTGCGGGTTGGGCACGTAGGACAAGGGGGCGTTTAAAAACATAGTGCTTCAGAGTGTGTTGGTGTTTAGGCTTTGCTGCCTGCTATCTGTTCAGTTTCGACAAGACTGCTTCGTGTGTGCCGATGAAGGCCAAGAATCGTGCAGCAGTGGAAGGAGCCCCGCAAAATGTCCCAAGCATATTCAGCCGCACCTAGGCGTCAAAGCAGATGTGGATAAAGTCAGGCTTTGTGCGGTACTTTGTGCTGCTACGAACTACAAAGTCGTCACAACTACTGAACTCTTGGACCTCGATCACTATACTCATGTGAAAGCCTGTAGCAGCAAAAAAAGACAAACGCACCCTACGACTCTAACCTCAGTGACCTGAAGTTTCCGAATGAAAAGCGGAGTATGGGTCGCAAGAGCGACAGCTCCCGTCGGCATGTCGCTTGCGCATCTGATACCAACCCCTGCATATTTCGAGATGCGGGCTAGGGGTTTAGAAGGCGTGCCGCTCCCCGCTCCCGCAAATAACATGAAACTCAAACGGCCCCTCTTCAAAAGGGGCGAACTATTCGTAGTGTGCAGGCTTGAAACTGCTCTGTTTGGTTCTATATAATGGGTATATGTAGAGCAGCGTAGAGTTTGTATGCAGGTGATGTGCTAAACCTTACGCCCTCAACCCTTGTGGGTCTTGAGCTTTGATCACAGGCCCGAACCAGACACCTTGAAACCCTGAAGGGTTCATGCCTATACGGTGCTACTTTCATACTATAGGTCGTAGTATACTATACGGTCTTCTTCCATATATCCGCTACACTGTGCTAAGTACTACTTTTGTCTTAAGTTAAACCAAAAACCTGCATATCCTGAGCTGCATCTGAGGAACTTCGATCGATGCGCTCCTTTTTGAGGACTCCCGTCGCGGTGTACCTGAACACCTGCTAGCTCAAGGACATGCAACTACAACACATGCCGGCAAGGCTGTGTTATGTAGTAGATGTCTACAATACCAGTCATCATCCTTGGCACATTCATCATCATCATCGTCATCACCATCAATGTTATCATCATCACCGTTCCTCAATGCCACCCTTAAGGATACCAAGTTCGAAGTTCGCCGAGAAGATGCACAGGGGGAAGAGAACACGGTAATTTGAGGCCTGAATGATGAGAGCCGTGTTTAGCGGCATAGTATAGTATAGTCGTATCGAGGAGGCCGAAGGAATACGATTGTCAGTTCTTTAGGTCCGCAGTCTATCAGCAAAAAACGTCCAGGCATCGCCCGCCCCAGACAAAGCCTAGGCCCAAACTGTGACCACCCGGGGAGGGGAGGGTCAAGTGCAAGACGGGTTGCAGGAAACTGCACTCACCCTGGCATCCACTCAACATTGCACTGGAGGTGGCTCGCCATACAGGAAAGACACCGCGCTGTCTGAGTTATGCTGAACCGTGTCAACAGCCTTAAACACCAGCAGCCAGCATGTTACATGCCCCATGCCCATAGCTGCGTACCCCTAAACCCTCAACCCTAAACCCCTAAACCCTAAACCCTGAACCAACTCAAGGACTTAAGCTTGAGCCTGGGCACCCGACTGCCCCAAACCCGAAGCCTCACAAAGCGCTAGCCAGTCTTAGGGTATTGAACAAAACGCTGAAACGCACGGTTTTAGAAAACACTACACAGCCAGTCTTAGGTATGGTTGTAAGGGCAAGGGCCTAGGGGTGTCAGGAAAGGGTCAAGGAGTTTAGGATTTGTGTGTTAGGGCCCGTACTCCCCCAAGTTATCGCACCAGCCTTCGTGTCCTCACCCTCCAAGCACTGGCAAGTCACGAAGCACAGTCCTTAATGTCCAGGCTGCTCCCCAAATCCAGACAAATGCTTGCAGGCCGCAGGTGCTCAGACTGTTTCCAGTTTCCGAGAGCCAAGCAAACCGTGACAATTTCTGCGGTGCAACAACCATCCGGTGGCTCCGGGCAATTTCCCAACACGAGACCCCTACTTGGAGTTTCATGGGTAGCTATGAGTGGGGTTATAACTAGGGTAACTCTGATTATAGCCCATATTACGGCACTTCTAACCCGCTTACAACTTTGGTAACTATGATTATGGCCCATATTACGGCACTTCTAACCCCACTTATAGCCACAGATGAACCTCCTGGTAAGTAAAGTCGAAAGCCCACCACACTCCGGTTGGTGGAAGCCACTTGCCGATCAGTCCAACAAGGTAGAGTCAAGTAGAAGTAACTCTAATACGTCTCTGTAACACTCAGCTGAATTTCATTGAAGGGTCGTGGGGCTTCGTAACAAGGGTACTACATGGGACAACTGTTGTTTATAAATGCTTACATCCCCAGTTACAGTATGTTACAGTACTTATAGTCTTACTTAGCCCCATGATCACCCCGAAACCCTAGACCCCCCCCCCCCCC